TTAGAGTCTTTCAAATGAGCTCTGTGTCAAGCAAGTCGACTCTATATCTCATATACAATTGTTTTGATCACTTTGGCTTGAATCATAGTTCACATGATGTTATATCTGGGAATAAACCGGTCATCTAATTGATGACTTAATTGCGTTGGAAGTATACAGGTAACCTGATTTACGCCATTTTTTTTGTTCCTGAACTGTGCATCGTCTTCATTGTTTAAATTCATTTCAATCGACTTTATTGTAACAAAATGCATGGAGTACAGTTCCAAATGGCGGAATGCTCATTTTGACTTCAATTTTCCATTCCTGTATCCTAGAAGGTTGGACCAGCGGAGAAAAAGTGAACTTTACTTGATCTTTACTTAAATGCAGTTTAACTGCACCAGAATTAGATCGGGAGCTAAATGTGCATGAAATCAGCTGGTGCACTTGTTTCACCATGAAGTTTTTGTTTTATTTTCAGTGTATGTTTCTCATGTTTGTTTTCTTTACAGTTAAATCGGAACCAGTAGATCTCTGTCTGACTATTCAACTTCGAGTTGTAGTTTTATCACGGCTTTTGCGTGAGATCATTATGATGTTGATGGTGGTGATACGTTATCGTTAAAAATGAAATAAGGTTTAGTCCACAGATGCACACTATATGCGAGCAGCTTGAACTTCCCTTTTTGGGTTAACCGCATTTGTTTTATTGGCCCTTAAGAAAGATTAGGCTGTCTTCTAACAGACAATGCTGTTTTTATCAGTTTCTTAATTCGGGGTGTCCCATAATAATACAGGCATTAATTTTGTAAGGCTAAGTTTGGGCCTTTGTCACCTTGAGAGCTGCAATCGCGCTTAGATGTCTAGCGGAATCGCATGCCAATCGCGTTTCGTAAGTCAGCTCAACATGTACGTGAGCACGAAATTAAGTTGTGTAAAACTCAGGTTCAACCAAATCCGAATCTTTCCATTTAACAAATCTCCAAAATTGATTTTGTATTCTAATTATACATTTCCAAATCTCAGTTAGCAAGTTGTGGCTCCTCTCTAACCTACCTAACCTATGCACTTCTTTACCTCTTTAATCTTCCCCTTCGCACATTCCGTAACTTCGTCTCGTGTCCAAGGAACCAGATATGACAAACCTTTGACATAATAAAGAACATAGTCGGCTCTGAATGACAACTCGTACGGCTTTAACTCCGAGGAACAAGATGCTTAGAAAATATAGCCCTACATTCTATTTAAAGGGGTAAAAAAATTCAATAACCTCATAATTGAACACTACCTTCAGTGATATTCCAAAATAGGTTAAAATTAAACCTGCTACATATACACTACAGTATATTGTATCTGACTCTGGCAATTCCAGGGCATCAGCATAAAGCATGCTTTGCAATGACTGGTCTTTAAGGTTATACCTGTTTAGCCGCAGCAGTGGTACTGTTATCTTTTTTGCTAAGACTATTATGGTTGCCCTAGCATGGGTTAAGCCTTAACTCTACAGAGATTACTTGTATAGCTGTATTGTACGCGATCCCAATCACCGGCTCCGGCTCTATGACGGTTTGCTAGCCCCACTCTTTGCAGAGTGTCGGCTGCTTCGTTACCCTTCATTCCTGTGTGTCCTGGTATTCATATGAGACCGACCTTATTTCCATACCCTATGCTACCAAGACCCTCTTTAGATTTCTTTGAAATTACGATGTTGAGGAGGTGGAGTCAAGTGCTGGAGAAAGTGTTTATAGTTATGTACCTCAATTGACGTCCTGCGATCATTCTGGCACACAGTTCTTTAGCTTATAGCTTTGCCTGGAAAATCGATGCATAGGTCCCTACGCAGATTGATTCCGTCATCTTCACCTTCGGCATGAAGATACCAGCCCCAAGATTTACTTCGGCAATTTGTGCATGCAGTATCTTTCCCTAATAGGTCAGTTTGCTGTTTCCACTCATTCCTTTGAGCAATTATCACTAAGAAGGTCTACGCACACCTTATTATTTTTGGCATTATATCAGAAGGCATTCTCAGACAGTGGTGGTTTTGTATGTCTATCAACATATCCGTCTCCTCCAAAGTGATATTGTACATTATACTATTTACATTAACTTACTTAGTATATCAATATCTCGCTTTTGTTTTAGTAAAACCGGAATCACGTATATTAGTACCTATATGAAAAAGAGTACACTTGTTAAGACGGAAAACCGTAAAAGTACGAGTACTACCCCAACAATCTGTGTTATTTCATAGCTCGGTATCATCCATAGCTGAGATTATCTGACCTTTTTACCGTAGTAATTGTATGTGAGGCAAAATAACAGGATAGTAGGTATCCACAAATTAGTATGATATTTTAAGTCAAGAAAATCTATTCCTGTGTTCAGGTTGTTGACATAAAGTCCAGTTTACGTGCCGTCGTTCATCTTTCTTCTGTGTCGTCGAAAATTTGCTTAGGAACCACTGATCATACTTACAATATTATAGGTATAGGTTGTAAAATCAGGAAAGGAGAAAAAGAAAGCAACCTCATATATCTCCAAAACTCACTCCAAAATGACTACACTCAAGTGTTGGTCGAAATAACCAGTAATCTTGTAATTACTGATAGTTTTGGTACTCCTGTCATATTATCTTGTAACCTTATTATTTGATTTTGATATTTTTTACTGAACTCCACTAAAGTGCCAGTAAATGAAAGCGTTCTCAATACTATTTCGCTATGACCAGACATTTCCTGCCATTTTTCGATATGGCCATGTTTAATTCGATGAAGTAAAAAAAATGCAATTACTATACTGATACGGTAGGCTCTTTAAAGGAAATGGGAGAAAGCCGTTGTTTCTTTTGCTCATTTGAAATTAAATGCTTCCATATTCTGTTACGCACCTAATAACATGGCGCTGAAATAAAATTCCTGATAAAAATCTCTAGATTTCATCTACGGTTAGTCGTCCTGCTATAGCGCTTTCATTTTTGCGAGTCATCAAGGTATTATGCCTTGCTTTTGTATTTTATCTCTGATAATGGTGCATTCATATGACAACGATGCGTTTCTTTGAGGTTGAAAGATGTTAGCAGCCAAGCGATAATGGGATGACACAAACATGCTAGAGCATGTTGAAACCGTATGTGAAGACTTCATCGATAATAGAATCTTTAGAAAGCAATTGATGGACCGCTTGTATTGTGACATAATTTTTATATAAGGACCAGCAACAACTGACTCTGTCCGTTTCAGCTTCATGTGGATACAGGATGTACTATACTAAGTGACATATAAATCCGAACATCCAGTTTAAATGGTTTTATTTTAATAAAAATTGGTGAATGTATTTATCTTACTGTAAATAACAAGTGAAAAAATGTTCAGCCTTATCAGTTGGACATTCCGGTTTTTATACTGCTTTTTTTTAATTCACTAACGCTCTAAAAATGAATATTTCAGCCGCAGTAAAGAATCAACGTTGGCGGATTTTGGTTCTTGACATCCTTTACGATCGGTTACGATGCCTAGAGTACGGAGACCTGTACGATTTCGTCAACTTAGTGAGTTTGATAGGGGCCGCATAGTGAGACTTCGGGAAGCTGGACTTTGTTTTCGGGCAATTGCAGTTAGAGTGCAAAGAAGTGTAGACACTGTGGGTAGGTGTTGTCAGGCATGGCTTCGAGAAGGCCGTACGCAAAGAGCAAGGGGCACTGGACGCCGGAGTAGAACAACAGACCGTGAAGATCGCCGCCTAAGATTATTGGCCTTAAAGGACCGTTTCTCCACTACCAGGTCCATTGCAAATGAATGGTTTGCAGAACATGGAAGACCTATTGGCATGCGAAGTGTTTACCGACGAATGAGAAGTTTTGGCTTGTTTTCATACCGGCCACACTGGGTCCTCCCTTTAACACTAGAACACCGACGTAACCGCCTTGAGTGGTGCAGACAACGGTCACTCTGGGATCAGGAATGGAACAGTATTGTCTTTAGTGACGAGTCTCGATTTTGTTTAGGCATGCACGATGGTCGTGCCAGGGTTAGAAGGCGACGTGGTGAAAGGAGGAATCCTCAGTTTTTTGTTGAAAGACATGTTCATCACACTGTTGGAGTTATGGTTTGGGGTGCTATAGCTTATGGCTCCAGGTCACCTTTAATCTTCATCAGAGGTAACATGAACGTGCAGCGTTATATCCACGAAATTCTAGAACCCCATCTTTTACCCTATCTTGACACCCTGGCAGATCCGACTTTCCAACAAGATAATGTCCGACCACATGTTGCAAGAGTCACAATAGACTTCTTTCAACATAATGATGTCACGTTGTTACCATGGCCACCAAGATCTCCCGACTTATCCCCAATTGAGCACGTGTGGGATATGATGGGTAGGAGATTGCTCAATTTGCAACGTCCTCCTCAGACTCTAGAAGCACTTCGAGAGGAGTTGGTGGTTGCCTAGAATGAGATACCACAGGAGGACATTGACCACCTGATCAGAAGCATGCCTAGGCGCGTTGGAGAATGCGTAGCACATCAGGGTGCATCCACACATTATTAAAGGTCAAAGGGCTTTAAAGCAGTGCAATCATTTTGAAATTTTTATCATTTACTTATTATGCTTCATTAAGTACTTATACAAAATTTTATTAAAATAAAACCATTTAAATTGGGTGTTCGGATTTATATGTCACTTAGTATATTTTGATGTTATCACAGTAGAAACTCCTTTACCACAATACTTTTCCGATGAGCGCATCCGTAACAGCGAGTATGTTTAGTTAACAACAAGAGAAAGGAAAAACGGGCCGTCGGCGCCCATTTTACGTATTCAGGCTACTTACCGTCTTCACGCAGTGGTAGCGTGGTAAGTGCACACGAGACGGCGCGGCGTAGTGCAACTTTAAAGCGACTCTGGGTTGCTTCACTTGAACGCCTCCAGATGGAGCATCAAGCAGCTTAAAAGAACAGGGGACGTCGGTAGAATTGAACTTGCATCTAGTCGGTCGAGAAAGTTGGTTGACAGCTGGTGCTGTAGACTAACTGGTTAGGTTTGTTCCTCAGAATGCATGAGAAGCGGGTTCGAATCCCGCCTGTGCCTATTTTTTCTCTCTCTCAAGTTGTTGTTTACTAAACATGCTCAATAAATGTGGTCTTATTAATCGTGATATTGTACCAGGTTTGACCCATGCTTCAAAGAAGGCGCAAATAATTATTTTTGACGGTATAGTAAAATCGAGTCTTGGAAATGTACAAAAAAGTTTTGTTGTTCTCCGAACATGCAAATCGCGGTTTTAGCATTATCCGTCGATCTCTCTGGAAAAAAAAAACAGAATAGATACGGAATTCTAACTTACCCTACGTAAGAGTTTCCGTCTAGGTTGCAATTTCACAATAATTGAATATCATAAAACTAAGAACACCACCCAATATTTTTATTTTCGCTCGCTGTGTCTTTAAGTGAACGAAACTCGGTATGCTGGCGCTGGGGTAATTTGGGCCGCTGATTTCAAATGGTGCTGTGTCATGAAGCTCTATTTTTTAGTTTCATATGTCAGCAATCAAGAATGAGTAAATAGGTTATAAAAATTAACAGTTCATTTTTGTGATGCATTTCCATTCTTTTTATACAGGGTGTAAACGTTATGATAGTCATTATTTAAATGGGTGATAAAAGGGGTTAAAGGACGCAAAAACTTTCATATGACATGGGGGTCAAAACGGCAACGCCGCAATGCCGGACGCAAATTACGACGGAACGCAGTGTAAATAAAGATGGAGTTTGTTCTTTTTGGCTCTTAGGTATTATTTCATTATTTCATAATGTACTCGTAAAATGCAAACAATTAAAAAAACGGACTTACCACTAACTGTCTCAGCGCTTCACCTGGTGTGTGAAAGTTTATTGAACGTATTAAGAAAATCCACTTATAAATAGGGATCACAATTTTGAAACATACATTGTTTTTGTTTTTAAAACCCACACTGCACTTTTTTTGTATTTAAAGAATGTGTTCAAAATGTCGTCCTCCACTTTCCACACAAGCTTCATTACGACGAACCCAGTTTCTTCTTACTCTAGGTCCTCGAAGTTGTCCATTTATTATTTCAGCCGCATTAAAAATTTGTTCACGAAGTTGTGTTTCAGTTGTTATTGGAGCAGCCCCATAAATCATACCTTTAAGTTTTCCCCAATACCAAAAATTCGTCGGATTGAGGTCAGGAGATCTTGCTGGCCATTTTCGAGGATCAGGAGCATCTCGACCGATCCAGCGATTTGGATAATGTTCATTCAAATACTGAATGACGCGTCTAAAAATGTGTGTGGTGGTGCCTCGTCATGAAGAGACCACAAATTCTGTCTCCGTTGTAATGGCATGTTGTCTAAGGTCTGTTCCAAAAGTTCTGGTAGGTTATTGGCTAGGAGGCTAAGGTATCCTTTTAGTGACAACTTTGGGGGTAACTCGAAAGGGCCAATTACCTGATCGTCAAGAATACCCGCCCAAATATTTATTTTAAAACGTTGTTGGAAATGACCTTCACGAATGGTATGAGGTTTTTCTTGGGTCCACGTATGAGTATTATGGAAATTTAATATCCCGTCTCGCGTAAAAGTGCATTGGTCTGTCGCTAGAATGTTTTTAAAAAATTCCGGATTTTCAATGATTTGGTGCAAAAACCACTGACAGAATGTTAGTCTGCGAGGATAGTCTTCTGGTAATAAGGCCATCACTCTTTGTACATGGTAGGGATAAAGCAAATTTTCCCGTAGGATTCTATGGACTATGGTATGTGATAGTCCTACGTGGCGGCCTAATTCCCGAGTGCTGATATCTGCATTGATTTCCATGATATTTAAAATGTGTTCCTCCTGCTCTACAGTAACCCGTCTTTCACAAGTGCGCATATTAGAGGCTGAACACTTCCCGTATCTCGAAGTCTTTGGTACACTTGCACAAATGTCCTTCTGTCTGGGTGTACCCGTTGGCGAAATCTGTCGCGATAAATTAAACTCTGCGAGTCCCTTATCCTGTCAAAATTATCTTACGGTGACTCTGTTTATGGACCTGTTTTTTTACAACGTGATTCCGAGCGGATTCAGATAATACAAAACTCATGCATCAGATTTTCTTATGGAATCCGTAAATTTGATCATATTAGTAGCGCTTTTGACCAATCGGGAAGGCTTAAGATGAACAAATTGAGGAAACTGCATTGCCTATCTCTGGTACATAAGACCCTTATCCTTAAAGCGCCATATTATCTTTATACAAAACTAAGCCTCCTCTGCCAGTACGATCAAAGATCCTCTAGGAATAAACTCATCTTACTTATCCCGCGGCATTCGACAGCATTGTTCACACGCAGTTTCTCGTACTGGGCACCCAAACTATATAACTGCTTATCCAGTGAGTATAAAGAATATAGCCTAAGCAATTTTAAAAAAAGGTTAAAGATGAGTTTAAAGCAGTCGGATGGCTAAAATTTTACTTTATGCATATCCACAGGTAATTGATTGTTTATTTTCTCTGATAAGTGTTATATTCTAAGTTTTTTTTTCTCTCTCTCTATAGTTTGTGTCAATGTTTTCCAGGTCGGGTTGAAAAACAGCATAAGCTGAAACTCCACCTTTTCGTCACTGTTCCTTTTAAACCAATTATTTTGTAATCGTGTGACGAATAAAGGCCATTTATTATTATTATTATTATTATCATAAATTTGAGCTGCAATATTTGAATTCTGACGAGCTTCACCGTAAACTAACAACATGTCGGCGAACTCTTGATTTCAGAACATTGTAAATAAGCACGACGACGTACGCGAACAAAAACAAAACAACACGCCCGATGCTCTGCTCGACAAAACGATAAAGTAATTTATCTATGCAAAACGATAACTAACCACTGTTACCGTTTGGGATCGATTACCGGTTAGATAAGAGTGATGAAAGACCGACGCGCTGTTGTAATGTGTGTTTTAAATATTCAATTTATTGAAACTTACTTACTGACTACAGATTTTGCCTTAACTTGGAAAAACTTAATGCCATTTATTTGTTAATTACCCAATTTAAAAACGTTTAGATTATATGATATAGATTAGATTATATGTAAAAATTAGTAAGATTGTGGTGATTGTGGTCGACATAAAGCACTTAAAGTTGTAAACTATAAAGCCATTTAGACAAAAATCTATTGACTTTTGGACCATGGGTCATATGAACCTTTTGACTTGTTTTGACCCCCCCCCCCCTATTACCCATTTCAATAATGACTACCATAACGTTTTCACCCTGTATATCCATACCACTCTGTGATAAAAATGGAGAGACCTTCTGGTCTAGGTAGTCGTAGTTAAAGAAGGGGAGCATAGCCGGCATTATACACTAGCGTCCAAACAGCTAGAGGGAGACTGGATTTCGACCAGGTATATATTACTTTACGGTCGTGGAGTCCTTTTTCTAAAATGAACCACACATTTGGCTCTGACATGATTATGATAGTGCTTTCTCTGTCGAAATCTTATTTCTAGGTTACTCTATTTTCTCCGAGATGACACATCTTCAGCTGATCAGAATCTCCTAAGCGTACCTATTCAGATCATGAAGTTTGTAGCATCCTCAAGCAAGCACGAATATAATTTAATACTGGAAGGAAACAAAGCAATATATTCCTTCCATTGTTAAGCAGTTGTTGATATATTGAAAGATTCTTGACCAACAGTGTAATTTTTATCTCACCAGTTACGCAGCAAGAATTGAAATATCAACAAAACTTGAATAATTGATCTTGTCATTAAAGATTTCTTTCTGAAGACCTCGCTATGCCGACGAGTATTCAGAAGTATGGAGTAAATTAAAAGAAGAATTGCCTCCAATGATAGACAGATTCCAATAATCGATGATACCATTCTACTTTTTCTGAAATAACCTGGAACCCTTCTTCCTTCATAATCCAATCGAGCTACTAAAAAGATGACGTTTACAAGAAGTGCCATAAAATGATGTGCCTGCTCCCCTTTTTCCTTTCTCCCAAGTTGTTGTTTGATAAACATGTTCAATAGCTCTTATCATATTATAAAATCTGGCCTTAGAAAAGTACGAATAAAGTTTGTTGTTCTCCAAACAAGCAAATCGAGGTTTTGGCACTTTCCGCCGATCTATGACAGAAACTGACAATAGTTACGCAATATCTGCTTCTAACTTACCCTAGGGACGAGTTCCCGTCTAGATTGCAAATTCACAATAATTGAGTATTTTGATCATATAACTTTAGTAATTCACCATGCAATATTTTTACCTTTGTTTGCCGTGTCTTCAAGCGAATGAAACTCGGTATGTTGGCGCTGCGGTAATTTGTGACGCTGTGACACTGATTTCAAATGGTCATCAAGAAAATCCAAAGGTATCGCGAAGCTCTATTTTTTCGTTTTATACATTCACATCTTTTTACACATTCACATGGCAATGTGACAATAGTGGAGATACTTTTTGGTCTAGGTAGCCGTAATTAAAGAGGGGGCAGCATAATTGGTATTGTACTCGAGCGCCCAAACAGCTAGAGATGACTTTGGATTTGGAGTAGATTCACGGACATCTTTTTTTATAAAATGAAGACTCTCACAATTTTCTCTGATATGACCATGGTCGTGCTTTCTTAGTCGAAATCTTGTTTCTAGGTTATTTTATTTTCTTCGAGATATCATATACGAGGTTTGTCCGGAAAATATGTATAAAAGTGGAATAATAACTGTATTTTACAATTGTTCAGGTATTTCTATATGGTCTCCTTCACAGCACTCTCCCTGAGACAAGATGCACTTCTGCCAACGTCGCTTCCACTGTTGATACGATCGCTGAAGCTTTCCAATTGTGAGGCTCTTCATTTGCCGTGTCGTTTCTGCCTTGATAGCTTTCACATCCCTCATGTTCCGCCACCGAAGCACCATTTTGCATTTTTAGAACAGGGAGAAGTCGCAAGCGGATAAATTGGGTGAATAAGACGGGTGTTCTGTCTCGGTGATTAAGCTTTGGGCCAAAAACTCACGCACAACGAAAGACATGTGAGCAGAGCTCTGATACGACGCAAAACTTCAATGTAGATATTTTCGTTCACTGTCTAGCCGGGAGGCACAAATTCCTGGTGAACAATGCCCCAACAATAAAAAAAAAACAATCAACATTGTTTTCACATTGGACCTTGATTTTTTCGGTCTTGTTGTCCTCGGTTCCCATGCCGCTTCCACTCCATGCTTTGATATTTCAGCTCCACATCGAATTTGTAGAACCGAGACTCGTCTCCAGTGATCACCCTGTTGAGAACGTCCCCCATTTCCTCTGTTTCCAACCAATCCTCACAGTAAGCAACCTTCCTTGCTTTCTGTTCTGGAGTCAAGAGCTTCGGAACGATTCCTCAGTTATCATTCTAACTGTCAATCGACGGTTCTTAAGAACACAGCCCCGAATTCGTTCAGCATTTCCATCAGAGCCGATGTGGAGGGGCGTCCTGAGCGTTGGTCATCTTTCACATCTTCTTGGCCTTCCCGAAAACTTTCCAACCACTTGTGAACGGTTGGTTCCTTCAGAGAATTGTTCCGTAAACCTGTTCCAAAACACTCAAAAATATCACGACGATTCTTGCCTAGCTTTGCAAGAAACAAAGCGCCGGCTCGAACTGAGCATAGAGGGGATTGCATAGAGAGAGGGAACCACCGGGCCACTCCTCCACAACGCCTTGACACGACACCCCGAATCTTTTATACGTATTTTCCCAGATAAACCTCGTATCTTCAGCTGATCAGAATCTCCCAAACCTACCTATTCGGATCATGCAGTTTGAAGCATCCTTAAATAAGCACGAATATTAACTAAATGCTGGAAGGGAGCAAAGCAATGTTTTTCTTCTAATGTTAAGGAGTTATTGATATATTAAAAGGTTCTTGACCTACAGTGTAATTTTTTTCACCAGCCAGTTACGCATCAAGAATTGAAATCTCAACAAAACGTGAAAAATTGATCTTGCCATTAAATATTTCTTTCCGAAGATCTCGCTATGCCGACGAGTATTCACAAGTGGAATAAATTAAAACGTTTGAATTCAAAGGAGAACGAAGGTGCGTGAAACGGTGTGGACTAGGATGAAGGAACTTATCATATTTTTAATAGGAAATTCAATTTCACGAGGGAGCTTAACTCAAGTTACGCCAATTTGTGAAATTATAAAATATCAAACAGCATTATTTACTAAAAAAGAATGGACACCTAAGCTATAAGCGCGTGTGTCTCACAGAATATACAAATTCAATGCATGGCTAATGGTCATAAAGTGTATTATGAGCAAATGTATATATAAAAAAAAGAAATAAAAACATTAGGTAGAAACGAAATGACTGGGTTGAGTCAAGCTACAATCGATGCTAGCATGTCAAAGTGATTTAAGATGAACTTCTTAATTCTGTTTTTGAAACTAACCTTCGAGAGGATATTATATTCTAGGGGTAATTTATTATACAACCTAATACCATCAAACTTTATGCATTTTTGGCAAACAGATTTATTCACTCTGGTATAAGTGTAACTTATATTTATTTTAGGTTCTTGTTTCGTAAGCGTGGCTGGTTGGAACATTGTTTCTGGTGTGAACAAATTTCAGAGCAGCAAAAATATATAAGCCTCTAACATTCAAAAGATCATTTTCAATGTAAACGAATCTGCAACTTGACCTACATGGGATACGAAAAATATAATTTTGCGTGGTTTTTAATATTTTTAAAGTACTAGTGTATGCGGATCCCCATATACTTATCCCGTAAGCTAGTACAAGAGAGTTTTATATTGAAAGAAGACTCTTTCTGCTTAAAATATTCCTAAGAATGAAACACTTATGAATAATTCTCCTTAATTTCGATGCCAAAAGCTCGGCATGACTCTGCCATTTTTAATTACTGTCAACAATGATTCCTAAGTATCTAATAACTTCAACTCTTTCAACAGTGTCAGCACTATCATTTATAATTAATGTTCGATGGTGTAATGGCATGCCTGCCTTAGTTGGAGAAAACGTCACTACTTAGTTTTAGAGACATTAAGTTGAAGTAAATTGTTATTCAACCAGCATTTGACTTTATTTAATGACAAATCGGCATTCCGTATTGCGTCATCCCATGAATGACCAGTGCAAACTAAAACAGTACCTACCGTCTACATATGATATCATTTTACAGTTAAAATTGCATTGAAGTAGTTCATTTATGTATATGAGGAACAGTGTTGGTCCCAAAACCGTCCCCCGAGGTACACCTATTTTGATCTTTTGAATGCTGCTTAAGTCTGACCCTACCTTAACTTGTTGTAATCGATCAGCCAAATATACGTAGTTCTCAAATAAGCTCAGAACTCCACTACGCCCTCCAACACTTTCTAGTTTCTTTAATAAAATTGTACGAGACACTGAATCGAAAGCCTTTTGAAGATCTAGGAAAGCTTCAACAGTCTTATTTCCATCTTGGAAATTTTCAAGCACTTGTCCTATAAGTTCTTGTAGAGATTGCTCTGTATTGCAATTTTTGCAGAACCCAAATTGACAGTTCGATATTATGTCATATTTCTCAAGAAAAGAACAAAGTCTGCTATTCAAACACTTCTCAAATACATTGATAACTGAAATAGGTCTATGATTGAACATATTGTCTTTACTTCGAGACTTAAATATTGGTGTCACTATGCTTTCTTTAAATTGCTGAGGAACTATAAGAATGTTTTTATCCTACAGCTGTCCAGGCAAAATAATATAATTATAATTTCAAATTGGGCCTATTTGGAATACTGGGAGTAGAAATATTGTAATGATGATAGCATGAAGGTTACTGTCAGGTAGATCAACTAGTTCGATAAACATGTAGCGTGCGATTTATCTACGGGTAAATTGCGGTACTTTATTCCTATTGTCAGTATATCTGACAAATCTAATATTGATTTAACAGTGTTGTGAAGTGCTGCATTCCCATTGTTTTTTCATAGGACACGGGTTTGTCTCAAAATCTTCATTTCAACGTTTATAGGTGATCTCAGAACTGGCAACAAGTTTATAAGAATACTTGTACTCAATTGTTCTGTATGTTATGACGTAAGTGTATATCTTCATGACCACAATAGAATTCAACGCATGATTAACTGCATTGGCAGAAACAACTGGCACTTGTATGAAAAAAAAACTTAAAAATAAAATTCGGTTCTCATCATGCGTCTGTATCTGAATAATACATTGGAAAAAGGCAATAATATCATGTTATTAGCAACTAATTATTCACCGTTTATATGATAAACATTAATTGTATTCCTACTTTTAAAAATAGTCCAATATGTTTGCAATTTGCATCAGTTGTCAACCAAAAAATGAATTATGCTATGATGAAATTCCTTTGTATCTATGTATCTATCTATCAATAATTAAAATCACATTCCGTAACGTCACATACATCATACTGATGATTCCTAGTGATAGTTAAACATAGTTCTATTGATTAGTTGCGTGGACTAAAGCAAATAAATTTTTGGAATTTGAAGTTGACCTTTCTTTTCAGAGTTCAACTAAAGCACTTGGAAACATAGCATATGGTCAGGTAATTATTATTGTTAAGATACTTTGTAGGCTGTAGGCATAGGTGTTGGAGCAGAACGATAGAGCAACGACTGAACACTGCCTGAGCTAGTTTGAAGTATAGGTATGGTTTTGGCTGGGCGATATGGTTTTCCCTTTGAAAACATTACAGGAATAGTCATAGAGCATTGCCTTTTAAGAAATATAAAGGAAAGATTAAAGAAAACGTGACATGAAATCGGATGTTCGGATTAGCCACGCAAGCACAAGACGTTCGTAACTGCATCGGGAGAAATATGATATAGAAGAAAATCGTGACTACAAGAACACTGGAAGCATTAAAGATGAATATAACTGTTTTGAGTTATTGGAGTGTAATTCAAATAAGAATGTACCATCACAATACGAAAATTATCTGCCGACTCAGATTAAGCAACCTATATTTTGATATCTTGAATATCACACTTACCTTCTTAGATGGGATCTGAAAACTTTATTTGCAGCAGTAATTATGTTGACAAAATGGTTCGTTTTAATGTCATGTCTCCTCAGAACTCTGCCAATCCTGTCCGTAAATCTTGGCACAAATGGAAGATACGCTTGAGAGGTGGTGGGACGCTATTCGGTTTCACGTGGCCTGGCTGATCTCGAGCCTATTGATCTTTCGAAGTCCCTCTTGCTGTAGCCATTTGCTTCGAACGCAGTTTTCAGGTGTTCAAGTTCTGTCTGGAGGTTCTCCGGTTCGTAAATCCCTCGAGCTCGTTCTGTCAGGGTTCTGATGACACCATACTTCTGACTTGAGTGATGATTGGACAAAGCGTGCAGGTATCTGTCTGTGCGCGTTGGTTTCCTGTGCACTGTGTGACCCAGCTTGTTACCTCGCTTCCTGACTAGTACGTCCAAGAAGACCAGTTGTTGGTCACTCTCTATCTCCATGGTAAATTGTATGCTTGGATGCCGATCGTTGAGGTGCTGCAGAAACTCGTTTAGCCTGTCCGTGCTATGTTTCCAAATCGCGAAGGTGTCGTCCACGTACCGGAACCAAATTGCTGGTTTGTTCTCCGATGTCTCTGTAATTATGTTGATGATTCAAATGTTCACAGCTGTTTATAATGCCAAAAATCAGCACGATGCAAATGCTAGGGCCACGGCAAGTTGCAGGGCAATGGCAATATGTTTTTCTGGACTTTTGTCAGTGCAGATCGAAGTAAGCTTTTAAAAAAATAGGTTTCCACTGCTGTCCTGCCAGGACTGAACATAACCAGTTGTAACCGACCTCGAGGCAAAGACAGAAGTACATGCTAAGGTCTTCGCAGCTATGCTAGAGAAAAAGAAAACAGTAATTACCAAGGTGGAACCTAACTTTCTTTTGTCTAGGTTTTCATTCAAAGTTTTGCTTCCTCTGTTACTAGATATTGTTTTTTGGCTTTTGAGAAAAATTATCTCCAATGATATACATATTCTAATAATCGATGAAACCATTCTACCTTTTCTGAAGCAACCTGGAACCTTTCCCCCTCCATGAACCAGTCGAGCTACAAAAAAGATGATGTTCACAAAAGGTGTCACAAAATACGAATGCTATCTTATGAAGCTATTTTAGATATATGTTAATGATGTATGTTTATTTGCAGCAATATATCTTGCCCACTTTTGTTATAATCCAGAGCTCTAGGTTGATCGCTTGTTGAGATACAGCCTTATTTTAATGACCCACCCGGTACCCCTAATTAAAGAATTTCTGGCGACGAAATCGATTGACTTGGCGAATAACAAAATTCGGAGTTTCTAGACACTAATAAGCAAATCTGCTTCAGAAAAAGTTGTAAAAAGTTTATTTCGCATCGAGCCGGACGTAAAATTTTTATATCTATTTCAACCGCTGCGGTAATCATTGAGCAATTAATTAAATAAATATTTATCCATATTAATATCGTGTAACACTTTACGAGCGAAATATGTTGTGTTGATTTATAGTCTTGATTCAGACGAGGACAGCAATGTATAGTACTTTTAAAAATGTTAGAGGAGTCAAAAAGCCAGACAAGGTTCAACAATAGTTATTTATGTATCTAGCGCGTAAAGGGGTCGTTTGTGGAAGCGAATGGGTAAGAAATTAAGAGCGGTTTTCACAAGTACAATCAAAAGTAATGCTAACTTATTTTATTACCCCAGGAATTCGTGGAACACCTATTCGTGAAGCACTGTTTTCGACCGATCGTAGGGTTATGAGTATTGAGTAACCGATATACCGATGATGTAATTGTAATTCACAAGAAAATCAGACCTATCACTGATACTTTATCAGCGACGGCGATTTTGTATTTTTTTACCAACAAAATATGTTTTTCTGACTAAGCACTTCTACGTGATCCAACTGCCCTCCTGCTAGATGTACACGACAAAATTTCGTTTTCCGTTATGCTTTAGTTATCAGCTCTATCAGTCCCTAAAAGCATAGTTATCAAGATATAGAGCGTTGTATATTTTTTACGCCACTGATAGACTCAATGAGGACAACAAATTGTTCAAATTTCGGTATGGTGTGGTAGCAGTACTCTCACAATGTCATACATCAATACTATGATTTGAGCGTATTTTCAAAGTACAGCAGGTTCAACATAATTTTGTTCTGGCGTGCCTCAGGGATACATATTAAGGCATCTCTTCTTCCTCATATAGTCTTTTAATATCGCTAACACTCTTCAACATTGCTGAAGTCAAACGGATGATATCCAAGTTATCTACAGGTTTTCTCCTAACAACTATCACGTTGCTAACAACCTGATTAATCTAGATCTACAACATATGCACATACGCCACAAAACACAATTTACGACTTAACGCATCCAAATCGACAGCTCTACTTTTGTGCTGCAAGAAAAAGCTTGCTTTCCACGACTCAAAATTAAACATTATATCTGACAATAATACCTTGCTGACATTTTCCCATTACGCAAAGAACTTAGGTTTATATTTCGATGAAGATGTCAGGTTCCAGGAGCGTGTTAGCTTATTACCAGTCTTTTTTTAATACTCCAACTACCACGAAGGCCTAAACACCCGTGGGGTACCGTGGGGCTATAGGGGGATACAGGGGAAAGGGGGAACGCCACATGGACTCTGGCGAGGGTACACGAGTGCATGCAACATGTACACATTCAGGCCCCGCCTACGAGATCCGCCGGGTGGTACCTCCGCGTTCGACAGTCAGAGACCGTCTTCCACCTACGGACAATCACAACATCCACAGCCAAGATAAAAGTTTCTCCTGGGACTGGATTTGAGCCCGCACAGCACACGGCGACTGATCAAGAGACCGAAGAGTCTACTATTACGGCCACCGCTGCTGCCGTCTGGACGAAATAACAAAAAAAAGTATGCGCAAAAATTCAAACTACATGCTCCCTGTATCTATGCAATTAAGGAAGGTACGATCACGTTTCTCACTCAAGAGCTTTCGTGAATTAAGTAAAAATATCCGATAAGTTCAAATACAGCTTTGTCACATTTGTCATCAAAATATTAAATGAGAGAATTAAAGATAAAATGATTAATTATTTTTTTTTCTCTAAAGTTTCAATTACAAGTTCATTTTATGCCTCATCCTGATCCATCGGATTAGTACCAAGGCCGTCTAGGCCCTCTGCTTTTGGATTACTTTTTTTATATTACCCAATTGTTTTCCTTTAGGGTAGGTTCTGGTTAAGCTGGTAATAAGCGTTATGACATGGTTAAGTGTGAATACTTCTCCATTTGTAACTGTACTCTAAGTATTTGTTACAAGAAAGACGATTGAATTGAATTGAATTGAATATAGATGTTAGCTCAAATACTCAAACCAGTTTTTCTCCAAAGGGAGATGCCTTTTAAAATGTTCTCAATGAAAGTGATTTATATTTCATTTAAAAACTTCCCACAATGGATTTACTGAAAACCACTGATTAAAAGAAAAAAGCGTATAAAATTTGTCAAATGGGGACAACTTTTCAACCAAAAACTACTTCAACACCTTTCACCCTCTGTCCCCCAGCGTCGTCCCATTAAAAATTTTAAATGACAACGGGTATCGAGTTATAGCTTGTTTGAAAGGTCGTTCTAAGTCCTTTATTTAAACGTTTGTTTTTTTAAAGACGGTCGATTCGTTTTCAAGAAAATTATGAAAATCTTTATTTATCTTAATTTGTTCAGATAGAAAACAAAAACACACGAAAATATCACTTTCGAGTATGCGTTGACGAACTTCATCCAAACTTTCAGGTTGGGGAGTAAACACAATAGATTTCAGATGACCTTATAGAAAAAAGTGTAATGGCGTCACATCAGGAGATCCAGCAGGCCATTCTTCGCCCTATCCATTTATCTGGAAACTCGTCGTCTAGCCACTGCCGAACGGGAAGAACATAGTGAGGAGGAAATGTTGAAAATATATTTTAGTCTCATCAAGTTAAAGTACTACTTACAGCACTGCTGTCCTGTCCCCCCTGGGTAACTCAGATCACGGTGTTGTGGAGGTTAGGTTTCGGTCAGAAGCCGCTGTGTCAGCAGAAACTCACACATGCCGCAAAACTTGGCATTACGGACATGCCGACTGGGAGGGGCTCAGAGACTTCTTCTCTATCTTCCCTTGGAGAGATGTCTGTTTCACTGACGCGGATGCGTCGACTGTCTGTTCTTCAATAACCGAAATTATCCACGTCGGAATGGAGGAATACATCCCTCACACAGTGAAAGTTCCTAAACCAGGGTCCAACGGCTGGTTCAACAAATCGTGTGACACTGCTCGCCAGCAGAAGATCAAGGCCCACAGAACCTACTTACAAAACCCCACTGTAGAGAACAGACAAGCCGACGTCGAGTCCAGAAACAAATATAACGAAGCGGTTCGCAATGCCAAAAACCAGCATGATATAAAGATTAGGCACAGGGTAATGTCGCAGCGCAATGGTAGTCGGTCTTTCTGGACGCTGGCCAAGCAGATTGAAAACAACTTCTCACACAGTAGCCTTCCACCACTTACGT